TTAATATTCATTTTAAACTCAAAATACAATTCGTGTTGTGGCATGAAGGCCCTTCTGGGACAGGGGAAAACTCCCCATCACAGAAGCTTCTGCTAGTGCCTGCTAAGTAGCTGCAGGATTCTGTCTCTGGCTGCTGGGCTGGCCAGCTCAGCCCCGTCTCCAGGGCTCTCTTCTTTCTCAGCTTCCATAAACGTTATACCTTCACTTCCATGTTTCTGCCTCTTCCTGCTGGATCTTGGCCTTATCCCTCTCACAGTATCTGGTCACTTTCAAGCTGTGATGCTGAATTCAGGGCATCTCACCTAGCCCTGGACTGGCACATTGCAAGGTAGGTCAGACTTCCAGCTAACATACATGGCTTTTGGAGGATTGTTGAGTCTCTGGGAGGTAGTTAACTACTACTACTTCTACTGCTATTATTTATTTATTTATTTGTTTATTTATTTTTCTCTTTTTGAGACAGGGTCTTCCTGTAGACCAGCTGGCCTGGAACTCAGTATGTAGATCAGGCTGGCCTCGATCTCACAGAGATCCACTTGCCTTTGCCTTTTGAGTGCTGGCATTAAAAACATGCATCACAAAGCTCAGCTTGATTTACTTTTTTAGGGAATGCTTTCCGTATGGACTTGGAAGCTGGGCTCAAATCCTAGACTGTTATTTTCTGGCTTGGATGACCTGGAGCAACATACAGTGAACCCTTTGTGTTTCAGTTTCTCTGTCTATTACTGGGGACAGTGATGGTGCCTATCTAATAAAAAGATTGAAGGATTAAATGATGTGATGCTTGTAGAGGTTCTTAGAAGGATTTAGTTAAATTCTGCCATGATGTGTGCCATCATTCCTATTAATCTCTTATGCACTATTACAAAGCACTGACCCTCACGACTTTGGTAAAGAAGTTTGTAGAGTTAGTAAAGGACTTCATGTAGGTACGAAATAACATGATCAGGCACACCACAGAATGGAAAGAAAAAAAGGAAAGGTTCTCACATTCTAAACTGTAGAGATATCACGGGTGATGGCATATTGTAAAGAATGATCCAAAGACCTGCACAGATGTTCTCCAAAGTCTGTGATCTTGCACATAGTTAATAAGTATATGCTCAACACTGTCCATTACTAGAGAAATTAAAGTCCAAGCCATAATGAGCTATTACTTCACATTTGTTAGGTTGGCTACCATAAGAAACAGAAAATAAGTTGGGCATGGTGGCACACACCTTTAATCCCAGCACTTGGGAGGCAGAGGCAGGTGGATCTCTGTGAATTTGAGGCCAGCTTCATCTACATAGTGAGTTCAGGCTAGCTGGGGGTACAGGGAGATCTTTTCTCAAAAAGAACCCCCACCCCCCCCCGAAAATAATAAATATAGGTGGAGATGTAGCTCAGGGGTACAATATCTGCCTAAAGTGCACAAGGCCCTGGGTTGGAGATCCAGCACTGAAATAATAAGTATAAGGGATGGTAAACAGAAACTAGAATCCTCATCCATTGCTGCTGGAAAAAAATATATATATAGTGATTTCTCAAAAAATTATGTGTAGAATTGCCATATTTTCTAATAATCTGGTGTGTGTGAACCCATACTCATAGCAGTGTTTCCTATAACAGCCAAACAGTGGAAGCAATCTAAGTATCTGTTGATGGATGAATGAACACATGTGGCATATGCATAGAATGAAATGCCAATCATCTTTAAAAAGGAAGGAAATTCGGGCATGGAGAGATAGCTCAGTGGTTAAAAACACTGGTTGTTCTTGCAGCCACATGGTGCCTCACTATAGTCTGTAACTCCAGGGATCCGCCACCCTCTTCTGGCATCCATGGGTATTGCATGAATGAGTGCACTTACATGCAGGCAAAACACGATACATATTAAATGAATAAATACATAAATAATAAACATATTAAAGGTAGAGAATTCTGACATGCTACCACATGGATGAATTTAGAAGACACACTCAAAGGCCAGTAAAGGGAGCATGGGAGTTGCTTCCAAAGCAATGCCCTCCTCCGACAAAGGAAGGGTGGGGATTTTTATTTCAGGAGTTTACACATATTCATCTAGGAAAGCACTTAGCAGTGGACATATTCCTGAGCATGCTCAGTTCAAGATAATAATTTAATAAGAAAAGATGTCAGACACATTTGACAGCATGCTTTGTTCAAGGCCATGGAACACACAACTGAAAAGTTAAAACAACAGGAATGCATGTACAGCTTACAGTATAGTTTTAGCTGAAAATAAAGGAAAAGACACACCAAAGGCTGTGTTAATATAAGTTTGTTCTTGAAGGTGCTCACCTTAACCACCGACTGACAAGCCTACCAAGGAAGCTGTCAGCAGGAACGGTTTGTCATGGTCACCTGGACAAAGTGCAAAGGGTCTTACTGATCTCCTAATCACTGTCACCTTGTTTTGCCAGAGGCTGGTCTGGACATGAAGAAGTGACCCCAAGTGACATGCATGGTCTGACCCAGCAACGGAAAATCCATTTTGCAGTGTTCAATGGTTCTGTATATTCACGTTCTGCTTTCAGAGTTCAAATGATCATGAAAACAAAAGCTCCAGGGAAAGAATTGTTGGGAACCACTGGCTGGGTTTGTTTTTCCTTTCTCCTCTTCCCTCCTCCTACCCTTCATTTGGGTTTAACCCATCATGCACCTGATCTGTGTCCTTTGCCCTGGCCACTCATTCTGCCTTCTCCAGGGTGTTAGGGATTCTGAGTGCCGTTCTGGGCACGATCTCTGTTTGTGTCATTCTCAGGTGTGTATTTGGGTGGCTGATTTGAGAGAACACCTTAGCTGAGGCTGTTGATGGGAGGTCTTTGTCAAGCTCAATCTGTAGCCTCTTGGCATATCCATTCATAAATACTCAAGGTCTGGGCTATGTACTACTAGGCATTCTAGAGCAGTGTTCTTGCCCCCAAAGAGCTCACGATCTATTTTTTTAAGCCTCATTATTATTTTTTTTTTTTGTCTTTTTGAAGCAGGGTCTCCCTGTAGCCCCAGCTGTCCTGGAACTCACTATGTAGACCAGGCTGGCCTTGAACTCACAGAGATCCGCCTGCCTCTGCCTCCCAAGTGCTGGGACTACAGGTGTGCGCCACCACGCCCGGCTCTAGCCTCATTATTTTTAAGACATGGTAAATCACACACAAGGGTAGGGCTTTGACTATTAATATGATGCTTACATTATTCCAAGAGGGTTTCACACGCTCAATCTTCCAAATCCCATGAAAAAGAAAAGTATATAGTCTTATGGTCCCCATTTTACAGATGAGGAAACTGGGGCACACAAATATTAATTTATGAAGACCATACGGCGGGCGTGCAGGCAAGCCTGGTGGTCTGGCCTAAGATTCAGGTCATTATTACCATAAGAGGCTGTACACTCAGCTTTAGGAACAACAGTGAACATTAGAGCCAGCCATGAAGTCCTAAATATGGATTAAGTGAAGGGATTGTAGGCCAATCTAAACAGCTGTGTCCACAAATATTATCTTGTGGGAGGAAGAGAGGAGACTGGCTAACTTGTTTTGTGGTGAAAGGACTTCAGTAAACTGTATTATACTACAAGAAATTGGACTCCATATTTTTAGTTTCTAGAATGGGCAATTTGTACTGGTTGCTGCTCATAACCCTGTTTAGGTTAAATTAGGCTCAATGATTTTCAGTCATTAATTTTGCATGCATAATCTCTACACACGCAACCCATGGTTTATGGCTACAGAAAACCACCCTCTTTGATGCTGAGTATCTGATCTGGATAAGAGATTTTTTTTTTCCTTTCTAAATACACATCAGACTCAGGAATATTTTTATTACTTTCTATGACTCTTGGCTTGGAGAATGCTTGAGTGATTGGGGTCAGACCTAGGTTTGGATTCTGTACTAGCACTTGATGGAACTGGGGGTAACACTACTGGCCTCATGGACAAGCATGAGGTTGGAATGAAATGTATTAGGTGAAAGGCACATCCAAGCATATTTCTGGTGCTGGCTGTCCTAACTGCCTGGCATTATGTCAAGGGCTCCTGGTCCGACAGGGATGTCACCGGAGTTCCCAGAGACCTGTGATCCTCTAATCGTTTGTTCTGAAACTCAAAAAGGTTTGGAATATCTCAATAACTTGTTGACATCACCCTAAAGCTATTGGAGCCACATAAAATTCCAGGCTGTTTTCCACATCTTTCTTTAGTTATGGCACGTCTTTTTCAAAGGCTGCCAGAATATTTCTCACGCAAGTCTATTTGTGCCTGGAATCAGCATCCACTAGAGAAAGAGGAAGTTCTTCTCGGGATTTCCATTTTCTTCCCTTTTGAAAAGAAGAAAGAAAAGAGTCTATCGAATTAGGAAATCAGGGGCAAAAGAGTCTTGTGTCTTTTTATTGTTGGGTGGTTTACTTTTACTGTTAGCTGCTTCCACGTCTTTTCCTTTTAATAAGCTATTTTATAGGAGGAGCAATTTTTGTTAATACCCTTACTCCGTTCCTGAACGGGGAGTTCCAAGGAAGCACGAGCCGGTTCTGCTGACGCACTGGGAAAGGTCAGGAAACCTGTTCACGTAGTGCAACAGGCCCCAGCGGGCAGCTCCGTCTGGATTCCAGTCTCTTGCTGTCCGGAGAAGACCGAGCGGGTTTGCCTCTGGTGAACAAGGGAATCATTTCACCACCCTGCCCTGGGCAGCTGAAGGGCACCTCTGCCCCATCAGCCCTCCGTCCAGGTTTGCTTGCTTCCTACCTAACGCACTTTGCATGTAAAGCCGCAGAGGGAATGGGATCCATCCAGAAGGAACTCGGCACGCGGGTGCTCGGGGAGGAGCAGAGCATGAACCGCAGTTCTGCTTTCCCGGCCGCCACACTTCTCGACGCCCCTCCCCCCTGGGCGTGCGCGGAGGCCCCGCCCCTAGGGCAGCCTCGGCTTCTTATTGGCGGTGCTGAGCGTCAGTCGGTGCCCGGGGCGGGAGCACAGACGGCTGTCCCCGCCCCTCGCCTCCGGACTACGGGCTGCGGGAAGCGAGTTGGGTGGCCCGTGACGGACGGAGAGGGGCCGACGGTCCGCGGGTGGCAGCGCGGCCCGCATGGCGGCGCCCAGGAGCGGCCCGCGGACGCGGGAACGGGCTCGGACCGACGCAGGTGGGCGCGGGGATGCGCGGCCCGGGTGGAGGGCGGAGAGTCCCGGAGCCGCGAGCCGTCGGGCAGGGAGGCTGCGCCCTGGCAGTCAGGGAGCGCACGGCCGTTGCCCGGGATGCAGGGACGTCCGCGCGCGGGCGGCGGGGCGTGGGTCCCATCACAGCTCTGAGGAGTCCGGGATCGGCGGAGGGCAGCCGTCCGCCAGCACGCGGGTGCGTGGACCCGCGGGCCGGTGTCCCGGTAGAGCACTGGATGCCGCGAGCCGAGTTTCGCGCCGCGCCTTGTTGGCAGAGGATGTGGCCCACACCTCCACAGCAGTCAGACTTGCAAACCGCAGAGAAAACGCTTGCTTTAAAAAAAAAAAAAAAAAAATCACTGAGCAGGTGAGCAGGTAGCTCTTAGCAGCGTCTGCTCTCTGCGCAGCCCCGAAGGCCCTGGAGGTTAGGGTGTTTTCTTTTCCATCCCTAGGCTGTGTCCTGGGCGGAGTTCCCAGCGCCAGGGAAGATGAGCATAGCCGCTCCTCAGGCTTGATTTTTCTAGCTGCCACTCCATGAGTGTGAGCCCACTAACGAATCCCGGGGCATGCGTGGTCTCTCCTTGGGTGCGTTGATGGGAAGTGGCCTGGCGCTAGGAAGGCTTCCTAATTGCTGTTCTTGGTCCCAGCAGGGCCTTCTAGATGACACAGCAACGTGTTGGGTTGACCACTACGCGGGGTGTCAGGACATCAGTCTACCCTAGAATGCCTGTGTTCAAGTCACAGCTACTCAGGGACACTCAGTCATCTCTAAAATGAGGGTGTTGGGCAAGCTGACCTATCGGCCTCTTCCTAAATTTAACAGTCTGATTTACCTGCTACTCTCAGAAGTTTGGAAAATGAGTTCATTTTTTAACTTTTCTCACCATGAGTTATTATAGAATTTGCCAAATATTTCCTGTGAGTGTATCCAGTTTAACATTTTATTAGGAGCCTGTCTTCCCTTCTCCCTACCTTAGTTTGACAGAGAAAGGAAAGTTGGAAGCAAAGGTAGAGACACAACTGGAAAGAGATAGTTTGGGAAGCTGCAAAGAATTTTTCCTTTCTCTGCACCAAATTTTAGGTGTGTAAGAGCCTAGGGAGAGAGTTCCTTCCTCTGCTCCAGCCTCCCGGGTCTGTGATAGGTGTGCAGTCCGAGATGGAATTAAGAGGATGGAAAACTTTTCTTTCCAAAACATAACCTCTGAGCACTTAGGAGCATAGATTCTTATCTTTGCTGGTTATGTTTGACTGAAAAAACAAAAACAGACCCAACAATTTTGAAGTCACTTGCTCAAGCTGAGATGGATACATATCGCCTTTTAAATCTACCTCTTAACTACTTTGGTAAAAGAGAGACAGAGATTCACCTTTAAGATTACCCAAAGGTACAAGCAAAGAAACCCCACAGAACAGTTAGGCATAAAAAGGGGATTTGGGTAGTCATTTTAATAACTTCTTGTTTAAAGTATGTCAGTATTGAAAATCACAGTTCATATCTTTGCACAGCGTTAGAGGAAGATACTGCCAGAGTTAGAGTATTGGACAAGGATGAGGTGTCTCAAAGATCATTTTTTCCAGGGCCCCAAAGCCCAGAGAAGATGTCATCATCTATCAGGAAGGCACAGTAGTACTGCAGACAAGCCCTCACATCTCAGCGTCTTTGGTAGATGTCCATGTTTGAGGGTGGAATGTGTGTGTCCCACATTCACCTCCCAGTTCTCTTACCCCTGGGTCCTTAACTGTCCCAAGGGATTGAGGCCCTGCTGTGCTATTGTCTACCACCCTCTCTCTGTTGACTGGCAATGTGCAGATGGTCAGCTGTGTTCTGAGCAGCTAGTCAGCACCCTGATGGACCCTAGGGGTTGGATTGAGAGACAGAGTACCTGGTGTGGAATGGGGTTCCCATTAGTGTGGCACCCCCCATTCTAACTGTATTCATCTGCTTTCTGTTGTTTGTTTTATGTTGCTGTTCTAGGTGAGATTTTTGTCTGGGCAAATGGTTCTAAAGCTAAACCAAATTTCAAAAACTAATGGTACTTGTGTCTTCAGCCACTTACATGTAAAGTTGTTCTGGCTATTCATGGTCCATAGTAAACCCTCCCGTGCTCACTGCTGCTCTTATTAGTGCTGTCCTCACCTTATATTATGATTGCCTTAGGCTTAGTCTCAGTTTAAGAAGCCAGTTTATGCATGAACTTGTCCAAAGTCACCCACCTCACACCTAGACTCTTCTGCCAGTTAAAAGGTGCATCCCCTAATGACAAAGCCCTTCATGGGTGACTGACCTTACGCATGAACAGATGTTTCTCACCCACCCTGGGCACTTTCTGGCCCGTTCCTGTGCGTGATCGCAGGTAGTCAGTCACTAGGCAGGCAGGTGAGTTTAGCTGGTAAGCACTTCTGTGTTCATGGGGAAAGCAGGCAAACCAGAGAACTGCTGGCCAAGTGAGAACTGCTGAGTGGTGTGCTCACACCTTTCCTCCACATGTACTACTGAGGGCGGGTGCTTATACTGGAACAAGTGCTCTGAGGCCTCTGCTCTCAAGGGGCAGCACAGCATGATGAATGGGATGCTCTGGCAGTGGTCACTGTGCTGAGGAGGGTAGAGAAAGCCACCAGGAGCTCCCAGATCCTGGTTATAACTCAGAGAGAAGTATCTGTCTTTGAAAAATGGTTTAAGGGCTTAGGGGGAAAAGAAACCCCACTGCACTGTGTGCGGTGCACACACACACACACACGCACACACACACACACACACACACACACACACACACACACACACACACACACCCTGGGATGTTCTTAAACCCTAAAGATCCATAATCCATGGTTGATACATTTTTGCTACTTGCTGCTCCAGTTTTAAGACTTCTCTTACATTTCTATGGGATGATTAACCAATGAAATTTATCTGTATTTGATGCCTACATTTTATCTAGGTAGAAATTCTTGACTGGTATAGTTATTAACTGGGAAAGATCCTTTTATCTGTCTTGGGTTGCATGATAAATTCAGGTTCACCAAGGAAGCGTTCTCTGGCTTTCTGGATGGGCCTGTTGAGCACTGTGCTCATCTCTGTCACAGCAGCAGTGGGTACTTGTATTCTTTATGAGGCTAAGCACAGAGACACTGACCATAGAGTCTTATGTAATTTTTACAGCCGTTATTCCACAACACTCAGTCATCACAGAATACACTTTGGGCCTTGCAGTTCTAAGTGGTTCCAGGATGCAAACACTGGTCCATGTCTCTGCTAGTGACAAATTCTTTATTTTTTCCCTCAAGGACAGTTTTCTGAATGTTTAAAAGAAAGAACCCCAAGGCAGACGAGCTGTAAATCTAAGCAGCTGCCCTGAGGAGGTGACTAGAAGAGAGAAGGAGAAACCATGCAGTTTAAGCCAGTGTGGGGTTCACACATGTGGATAAGCAGAAAGATTAAGGAAACCCAAAACCTTGGGTAATCTGGAAGTGTTTAGGGAAAGCACACTTAGAAAAGAGAGAGGAAGAGGAAAAGGAACAGTTATGCCTTCTGGGTAATTCAGAAAAGCAGAAAGGCGAAGCTGCATGAGCTGCTGTGGGCAAGTGCTGCTTGGGCCAGATTCCTTTTTTCTTTTTGAGAAAGGCTCTCACTATGTAGCACTGGCTGACCTGGAACTTACTACGTAGACCAGGATGACCTCAAATGCACAGTGATCTTCCTGCCTCTGCCTCCTGAGTGCTGGGATTAAAGCTGTGTACCACTAAGCATGGTGCTTGTGACAGATTTTTTTTTTTTAAATTTATGCTGGGCATGGTGGCACATGTCTTTAGTCCCAACACTCTGGAGGTAGGGGCAGGTGGACCTTTGTGAGATTGAGGCCAGCCTGGTCTACATAGTGAGTTCCAGGTCAGCTAGGACTACAGGGAAAGGAAAATCCCAGGAAATGTAGAACATAAAATATTATGGTTGATATACTTCTAAATTATGAATTTCATAGTAACTCTTTTGTTGTTGACTTAGCCAAAGCGACTAGGCCATTGAATCTGTGTGGGAGTTTTGGATGAGGAGATATAGTAACTTACAATACCTCGTTAGCTTTTTCTGTGTTTGCTTTTCAATGGGTTTTTGGGATTAGTCTCCTAGCAGGGGGAGTAGTAATGTAATGTGAAGTCATTTTCTCAAGAAAGCTTTCCCTGATTCAGAGAGAAGAGGAATATCCCAAGTCAAGGGTTGTGGGAGCTGGGGAGATAGATCAGTTGGCAGGTGCTTATCACTGAAGCAGGAAGATTTGAGTTTGGATCCCAGTACCCAAGTGAAAGTCACGTGCAGTGGTGCTTATCTGTAATATCAGTGCTGGGGAGGCAGAGACAGGAAGATCCCTGTAGGTGGCTGGTTATTTAATTTAGATGAATCAGTGAGCTTGATTAAGGAAAGCACCCAGTGTTAACCTATGGCCCCCACATGCACACATACACATACATGTGCATGCAAACACCCACATACACACACACACACAATACAAACACACACACACACCTAAACTGATTTTTTTTTAAAGGGTGAAGTGTACCAACCTCTCCTGTCCCCTTTGCTGTTGGGGGTGGGACAGCCTCCATGAGTGCAAACCAGTTTCTGAATGACATGGGGTTGCAGGTGGCCATGGAGCTGGTGGTGGGGGCTCACTGGAGGTTTGCATTTGCGTTTGTGATCTAAACCACCTTGAGAGTACTTCCCAGTGCATTTAGTCTCCCAAGTTTAACAGAAGTGAACCAAATCCTTTCTTGCCTGACAGTGAATCTATCTCTTGGTCTTAGAATAGTTCCTGGAATATTGCGAGTATGTTTTTTGATCTGTGAGAAGAAGGCCTCATCTTGCCAGTGGGCTATCTAAAGTTATGGGAAAATGGTAACTTCTCAGTCAGCCACTTGGATGGGTTAAAACTGGAGTGAGCGGAATGGCTGATGAGAAAGAGGAAGTAGGAGATGGCGAGCCACCAGGTCCATTGGA